ATACTATGTGTGTGTGTGTATATATATATACATGTTTACTATGCCATGTGGATTAGAGAAAAAGTACTCTTTAGATTATGAGGTAATTAAGTACATGTTTATGTGTGACATGTATTTGGTATAATGTATGTTGTATGTGTGACATGTATTCAGTATAATGAATGTTGTATGTGTGACATGTATTTGGTATAATGAATGTTGTATGTGTGATGTGTATTTAGTATAATTTATGTGGTACGTGTGACATGTATTTGGTATAATTTATGTGGTATGTGTGACTAGTATTTGGTATAATGAATGTTGTATGTGTGACATGTTATCAGTAAAATGAATGTTGTATTTGTGATATGTATTTGGTATAATTAATGTGGTACGTGTGACATTTATTTGGTATAATGAATGTTGTATGTGTGACATATTCATATAATGAATGTTGTATGGGTGACATATTCATATAATGTATGTTATGTGTGATGTATTTGGCATAATGTATGTTATGTGTGATGTATTTGGCATAATGTATGTTATGTGTGATGTATTTGGTATAATTTATGTAGTATGTGTGACATATTTGTATAATGTATGTTATGTGTGATGTATTTGGTATAATTCGGTTAATGAGGATAACTTTGAAATATGATTTGAAATTACTTATATTTGTCAGAAAATGTTTTATGCAGGTAAAATTCAAAGCTAGCACTAATGCTCCTAAACATACATTTTATTTATTTTCAGAAAAAGCTTTCATATAGTGATGATTTTAATACTTCAGATGAAGACTTTAAGAGAGATTTATCTAAAAGAAGGTAAGGAAAATGTTACTGCTGGGTCATAAACTTTTATTTTTATGGGTATTTGCATGATCTTTATGATTGATTTAAGTTTAGCTAACTGGATAAATTTTTTTTATTATTATATTGTACTTTTCTAATTCCAACAACTTACACTATACAAGTTTGTCCTATGGGCTCTGTATATACACGTATTTTACAATTGTATTACATTTAGGTAATGGAACTTCTGCTAAATTTCTTTTAAATTATATACATTTCTAATTCCAACATCATAACTAAATTGTGCAAGTGATCAAGCCAAAAGGCATTAAATTTTCTAATAATATTTGTACACTGACAGTTAAACATTAATTCTTTAATACATTGTACTGACAGCAATGAAGCACTTTTGAGTTTATTGTATTTCAAAACTAAACTTATATTATTCTACTTATTGAAAAAGTTATGTTTTTCAACAAAAAGTAATTTTATTTCATGACAGAATCTGCTGTATTAGACCGTAGTAAACTTTTATATAAACTTCAGCGATACAAGTCCTTTCTTAAATAAAACTAGTTTATTCTTTCTCAATACAACTTTGCAATACACAGAGTTTCCACAGTCACTTTAACTTAAACACACACTTTAATTCACAATGATTCACGCAATTTATTTATGGTCACTACTGCTCACTTGACTCAATTATCTGTCTCATTATCTGTCATCTGCAATTATATCTCTGCTTTATTTGCTGGACTTATATACTAAAAAAGAGGGCACCTAGAAAAGACTAGAGTTGCCAGGAGCAGTCATGATCCTTCTAGAAACTCCAGCGCGCATGCTTCCAACGTCACACTGCAATTTCCTTAGTATTGTTCATCCCAAACAATAGCTACTTACATCAAACCAATAGATAATTAACAATAACATAATTAAATGTACAGAATTTACCAACACAAAATTAAAATTCAACAAAGACTCTTAATTTTACGGGACGTACCTTCTTCGTAGTGGTCTCCGTCTTGTTGGCTTCTGCTTCACGTGGGGTTAATCTGCTCCATCAGGAAATGTTCCGTTGTGTGTAGCAGTCACATTAGTGGTAGTAACTGCATTAATGGCTTCACTGTTTTCCCTTTCAAAACCAGGTAAAGTTTCTTCTTCAACTGTGGCTTTTTCAGGTGACACGTCTTCAGCAGCATCATTTGTTCTGATATTCATTTCGTTCCAACTGAAATGTTCTGGACCATGATAACGCCAAAGCCTGTTGGCATACACCACCTTTGCTTTACCTCGCCGACCACAGTTTTTTCGGAAAGTCACATCTGAGAGATGATCCACTATGTCATATGGTCCTTCCCATAAAAAGACAACATAGGAGACTTCCCTTTTGTCTTCCTGAGATTATACAACCACACCTTGTCTCCTGGTACATAGCTGACGTCAGTAGATTTCTTATCATAACGTAGTTTCCACTATCTCATATGGGCCTTCTCATGGAGAAGACATCTTAGGAGACTTCCCTTTGGTCTTCCTGGGATTATACAACCACACCTTGTCTCCTGGTACAAAGCTGACATCAGTATACTTCTTATCATAATATAGCTTCATCGAATCAGCAGACGTTTTCAGTTTTGAACGCACGTGATGATAAACATCATCCATCCTTTTAGATAACACTTTCACAAACTCTGATACATTTTCAGGCAACTCTTCGGAAGTTGATCATCCTGTTATCAGATCCACTGGCAACCGAAGTTCCCAATCAAACATCAGCTTTGCTGTAGTGTATCCAGTGGCTTCATGCTTTGCTGTTCTATAGACCATCAACAGTGGAGGGAGTAAGACATCCCAGTCATCTTGGTGGCTATTACAAAACTTTGTCAATTCCTGTCCAATTGTACTTTTCTACCATCCCATCAGACTGTGGGTGAAGTGGCATTGTCCTGGTCTTTCGGATGCCAAACAACTTGCAGCATTCTTGGAACACAGCTGATTCGAAGTTACGGCCTTGATCTGAATGCAGTTCATATGGCATACCAAATCTGAAGAAGAAATCACTAAGCCAAAGCTACAATTGTAGCTTCCTGATTTGGTATTGCATATGCCTCAGGCCTACTTGGTGAAATAATCCATCACCACACAAATGTACCTGTTTCCAACACAAGTTTGGGGCAAAGGACCAGCAATGTCAATGACTACTCTTTCCATTGGTGCACCAATTTGATATAACTTCATTGGAGCACATCCTCTATGCTTGGGTCTCCTTTTAGCACAACATGTACTGAAGGTCCTGCACCATTCTTCCACATCTTGTCTCATACCTATCCAGCAAAATCTCTGTCGTAGGTGACTCAATGTCTTCTTAACTCCAAGATGTCCTCCTGTTAAACTATCATGGGATTGATGCAGCACAACTTTCTGTAACTTTCTCGGTATAACTGTTTGCCAGGTTGTCACTTTCCCATCTCCAGACAAGAATACCATCTTCAAGCTTCAACTGG